AAGTGCTGATTCTAAATGTGTCAGCTTTTAAATAATGTATTTTGGGAAAGGAGCTGAGTTAGCTGCTGTTGCATTTATAGTGACGGATAAGCTGTAAAATGTAGCCTGCCATTGTTTTATTATTCAGGCAATTAATCTAAACAATGTCCCACCAACCTTGAAGCTAATTCAAACATGAGGAATTGTAATACTTATTTCATAATTTGGCAAAACTAACACATTTTAATTAGCATAAGAAGAATTCTTTCTTTGATCTCTTTGTCAGGAATTTGAAAACAGTAAGTATAGGGTAAGTAAACCTGCATGAATCATGACTCTCATTTCTTTGGCCAAATAAATTTAGAAATAATTTTTTATTAAAATACTAATTTAAGATTTTTTAATATCAATTTTTTTTCTTTTGAAAGAGAGCCTTTTGCATACAGATTATATATATATACACACACTAGAGGCCCAGTACATGAAATTCATGTACAGAAGTCTCCTCAGCTCAGCCTGCACCCTCTCACAATCCTGGACCATTGGGTCCTAATCGCTTACCTGCCTGCCAGCCTGATCGCCCTCAACAGCCTCCTGCTGGCCTGGTCACTACCAACTGCCGCGCCCCCCCCCCACTCCACCCCCCTCTTCGCCACCTTGGTCACTCCATGCAGCTTGCTTGTTTAGTTGTTTGGTTGTCCCTCACTAATCCCCCTGCCAGCCTGGTTGCCCCACAAAGCCTACCTGTTCAGTCATTTGGTCATCCCTCACTAACCCTCATGCCAACCTGGTTGCCCCACACAACCTGCTTGTTCAGTTGTTTGGTAATTCCTTAGACTGGTCGTGGGCAGCTGTGCAGCTGACATCCAAAGCTTGCCTGCAACTCAAGCCAGTCCTGGGTGACTGGGGGGGCTGAGGGACTGGGGACTCTGAAGGCAGGTGCCCCAGCAGGGTTGAGAAGACTGGGTGCCGCCATCTTTTGGCTGTGGGCACTGCCATCTTTGTGAGGGTGTGATGGTCAATTAGCATATTCCCTCTTTATTAGCTAGGGTGGATGCATATAAAACAAATACACACATATAATTCTCTTTACACTCTATCTCTATTTACTTTCTATCTCATCAATAGATACAAGACACTGAGCAAAAATAGAGCACCAGGAGAGATCAGACATTTGAAGCAGAGAGGAAGCTGAGGCAGAGGACAGACTATGCGATGGAGCTATGAATGAGGAGAGGACAGGACTGGAGAAGCACGAGACATCCCATGCACGTCTTAAGAGAGGACCCCAATCTGGTCCTGATATTTCCCAGCAATCTACACAAAGAGCAAAATCTGAGCAGGTACAGGAGTCAGCGTGTCCATAAAGTGAGAGCAGAACTGCCTGGCAGAAATCTGAGCTTGATTTCTGAAGTTGCTCACTTTGGTTGAATATCCTCACCTCAAGTTTGGCAAGAGCCAGGACTAGTGATTATTTGGAAGGAACCAAAGAAGTTCTCTTTCCTCTAAAAAGCACAGTGTTAGACTCTGTGGGTATGTAAGTACAAATCTAGAGAGGTTGCGATTTAACAACCCCTGTCTAATGACAGTTTGAAAAATGATTTCTCACTTATAAATTTACATCTTTAATTATATGAAGGGAGTATTTAATAACTGATTATATAGAAAAAGGGGGGATTAAGAACATTAAAACTCTCAAGAGAGATAAACAAATAGAAATGCAGAATATATCATATCTAAAACAAGCAGCAAATTATTAAATATTCCTAAAATCTTAACCAATCTGAGGTTAGGAATGGGGCTGGCTCTCAGAATACTTCCGCTTTTAGCATATTTTGTGTAGCAGGGTCAGGAGTGTACGCTGAGACTCCCATCTCTGCCTTTGAGTGTTGGTCTGACTCTTGGACAATCTTTCTTTCCTTGCAAGCTGAGAGGGGGTATCAAAATTATTGGCTGCAAGAGGGAGGGTGCAAGGAACCTTTGGCCACCCAATCTGAGCTGATTCCAATCACAGAGGCATTCTACGGCCTTCACCTACCTGCACCATATCCCTTAGGTAAAGGCCTTTTCATGGGCTGAGAGCAGGCCCAGTACGTGTCACCACCAGATGGCAGGAGTGCATGCTGAATAAACGGAGCAGACGCGAGCCTTCTCTTTGTTTTCCACTCACTAACTCTCCACGAGGTGACAGCAACATGCATGTAATGGGCCAGCCTTTAATGATTCAATTTTTCTCTTAAATATAAGAGCTGCATTTTGTTATTTTTGAATTTTAATAAGTTTATTTGAGCCAAACTGACACATATGCCGGGGAGCAAGATCTCAAAAGCCCTTGAGAATATCAGTTTAAAAAAGTATCCACAGTTGGATTTCTTTTCTCTAGATCTAGAATATGCAATACTATTTGCTATTAGCTCCCTCATGTTAACTTAATATACAAAAACAAAACCTTTGGAAGGTTCGATTTCTAAAGAACCTGGGAAAGATTACTATTTGAAACCATTATTACTTAAGAATTGTTGGAACCCCAATTTAGAAGAAAAAATAAGTGATTAACATAGTCACTTCTTAGGAGATAATACTTATTATTTATTGACCACCCATCATATAGTAAATATTGTATTAAAATGCTTTAAACCAGTGCATTGACTCTGGGTCAGCACTCCTTAAGAAAGCCTAGATTTTAACTTAAGGCTTTTTAGGGCCATCGTCCCTACATTTTCTGTGGCCTTATTATGGTTTTCCTGCTTTGAGCCGTTGCAAAACCCATACTGCAGAAATTGGAACTGCCTTCACGGTATGATTTTGAGTGCACACACGGATGTACTCTCTCTATTCATGACATTCACTCTCGTAACATTAACCCGGTGAGGGATAATAATATAGTTTGATTCTATAGTTACATTAAAAGCTAAAAACGAAGACTGGTTTGGGAGCAATCGCGAAGTGATAACTCATTCATGAAGAAATGGAAATGATGAGAGGGGAGTAGAGTGGGGCCAGAGAGAGCAGTCCTAGGGACCCGACTGAGCAGAAGGGAAGGGAATGAGATGGGTAAGGAGTTCAGATGGGCAGCTCTGCACTCCTGCAGTTGCCAGCTCAGAACCCTCAGAAGGCCTTACCTGCGTGTGGCCAGGGCAACCTGCTGCAGCCCAGTTCCTCCTGCAGGTAGCAGAAACCTGGACATGCCTGAATTCCTCGGAAGCAAACAGTGGGCGGTGAAGCTTTGAGAACAGCGTATACAGTTGGCCCTCAAACAACACAGATTTGAACTGTGCAGGCCCCCTTGCAGGTGGATCTGTTTCAATAACTAGTCGGCCCTTCCCATCCATGGGTTTCACTCATGCAGATTCAACCCACAGCAGGTGAAAACAGTATTTTCGAGTCTCCAACCGCAGATTCCCAACTGCAGACGAAAAAACTGATTTCCACCTGTGGCTAGTTGAATCTGTGGAAGCAAAGGGCCAACTGCAGTCAAAAGTAATACGTGGACTTTTCATCTGTGAGGGGGTTGGCGCCCCTGCCCTGTATTGGTTAAGGGTCAACTGTAATAGCAATTGGCTGTCCAGGAGGGGTGCACAGCGAGTGCACCTGCCCTCAGGGGGTCCCCTGGGCATTCATTTCTCCTTGTTTCAGTTCTAAATGAGACTGGAACCTACCACAGAGGAGTGGAGGAGTAAGGTGTTAAAAACTGCAAATATGCTTACGACAGTTTTTGTGCACAATGATTTTATGGTACAGTATAGGCGTAAGGAGTAAGGCGTTAAAGACTGCAAATATGCTTACGACAGTCTTGTGCACAATGATTTTATGGTACAGTATAGCTGCACTTTAATGGACTTTTTCAAGTTTCTTTAAGAGAAATACAACAAAATGATATGGCGTCCCCAAAGAGCAAAATCTGACTAATGAGAAATGGAAAAAGCCCCTCTGTTGTTTCTTGCACAGCATGGTGGGGGCTGGGGGAGTGGAGATGAGGGACCTCAGGAAGGAGTTCTAAGAGAGGGGTAATGACTTTATTCATCTGTGGCAGAATCAGGTCCCCAGGTATTTGCAGGCAACGTAAGGTGACTCCAGGGTCAATAAGCTAGCACATACCGGCAGCAACAACCGCCATGAACTCTGGACCCAGGCATTGCTCTTATCTGTGTCTCTTATTCAGTCCCTAGGCAAGCCCTGCTGGGAAGACGACATTATCCCTTCTCGGGAGAGAATAACTTCCCAGGTCCAACAGTTAGCAAAAGGCACCGTAAGGGTTCAACTCCTGTTCTCTTCACAGTATTTCCTCTGCTTTTTAGGGCCTTCCTTCCTAAGCCATGGCTGGTGAGACATACTTACCGCCTGCCACCAGGGGCCACCACTGACCAATTTGGATCAATTCGTGAGCACAATTGGCTCTAAATGCAATTAATTGTATAACTACAGCCTGTCTAAGTTCAGGTCTACTGGAATTACTACATGAAACAGAAGCATTATAAAGGATTACTGGGGAAAGAGCAATACGTTAAAGGAAGTCTCCACTTTCCCCTCTTTCTTTCTGGCTTAAAGAGGAATAAAGGAAGGCAAAACAGCAGAACTCGACTCAATAGGCAGCACAACCAGAAGCTTTCACTCTGTGTGCCTGGCAGTTGGTCAAAAAATGACCTGCTCAACTTTCCTATATAGTAATGACGGGGGTGGGGGGTGGGGAGCAAGGTACCAGTGCTTTAAAGACACGTGAATGTAGTTTGAGCATTAAGACAAAACTGTTGACAATTGTTGGTGCTGCTTGGCTCTCTGTCAGCGTTTAGTTTGGGTTGTACATAGTAACGTTTCTGTGGTTACAATCCCCAGAATTCCTTCCCAAAGGACACAGTTCAGACTGGAATTCACACACAGGTTTCAGAGCACAAAGTAGAGAAAGCCAACAAATCTCAAGCAATCAACAATACATTCACACCACCCGAACATGTTTTTCTGCAAATGTTTATTTGAAAATATTTGCTAAGAAATGTCAGGTGGTTGCGTCTGTGGCAGTTTCTTTAGGTGAAAAATGTGCTAACAGTCACTATGGAAACCAAGATGCAGGCAATAAGGAGCAAAATCAGACCTATCCGACAGTATTTTGAATGCTTCTCTTGTTCCTCTTCCTTTTTCAACAAGGTATCAAAACCAGGCGTGTACATGTCTCCCAACCAAAACCGCAGGTCATTAGGATTTTCCTAAAAGAAAATTACGTGGAGAATAGGCTCAATCAGTGATCAATACAAGATTGCAGACAAGACCCCGCCAGAGGTATAAAGACCCATGTTCACACTGTCTTGGGTGAGGCTGACGTGAAATAAGAGAGGCTAGGCTTCCCTGAACAGCACCCACACGGAAGTGCAGCCTGCTGGCTGACCAGGAATCCCTGCGGCTCCAAGCTGTAGGTCTGCATGAGAATTCATCAGGAGGCCTGCATGATTTATTGACTAAATTGCTCAAGTGTTTCTGCCATATTTTATGCCAATTTAGTGCCTCTTACATCTCATGAGTAGTGTGTGCCAGTCAGGTTAGTGAGTTGAAATAAAATTAAAATTCCTCCCTTGCTTGAGGTGAGCCTTCAAGGTTTGATTTTGTTGGCAAGGTCGAGATAAACATATGTGATGAGTTTTCCAGTAAATCCAGGAGCCGATGTACATGGGAGGAGGAGTGAGACTAAGAATCAAGGATCCCTTGCATGCCTTTCAGATCGCCGGTGCCCCTTGTAGAGGGTGAGAGCAGGTTTGGCGTGCAGAAACTTTGGCACTGTTTGGCCTACTGAAGGAAGAATCCCACATATCCTTCCCCACATCAGCGCCTACACTCCACGTCTGTTTCTTTCACAGCCTCCTCTTCCTTACAGCTAGACAGAATTGTCTTCAACTCAACCTCATTCCTGTGTCTAACAAATCACCTGCGAACTCTACTGGTCAGACATTAAGCTTTCTTCTTCTTCTTCTTCTTCTTCTTCTTCTTCTTCTTCTTCTTCTTCTTCTTCTCCAGCTATGCTCAGAGATAAGAGTCAGTGACTGTGCCTGGATTCCAGTAAGCATACAACAAATGTATGGTGAATGCTGAAACTTTAGTTTTCAAAAACCCACTTCATTATTTCCCACCTGAATTAATGCAATAGCTTGCCATTGGACTGCCCCCTCTCCTCCCTTCCCTCTCACTCTCTAGTCTCAATGGACTTAAAGTCAGCCAATTTCCATGGCCAGCGTTGGTGTCAGTGAACTAGTTTCAGGCTCGCCGATGCCCAGTAAGAGGCAATGTGCATGCCTGCAGGGGGCTGGATGGATTCCGGCCATGGCAATACAATTCTTCCATCACATTGCTACTAGTTTCAATTTCCTAGTTTTAGGAAAGCTAAAGTATTAGAATAAAATTTGGATGACTGATGCAAAAGGATAGGTTATTTAAATTGTCTACTCTATCGCTCCCTTGTGTGTGTCCTTATCAGAGGCCTGCACTTTGTCTTCAAGACTAATTGCCTCCATTCTTCAGTGAGGACTTCCAGAATTCTGCTTAGAGCTTCCCTTCATAGCTAAATATGGGGCTCCTTTTCTCCTTTCTTATTTATAAACTAGAGTCCTGGTGCATGAATTCGTGCACCAGTGGGGTCCCTCAGCCTGGCTTGAACTGTCTCACAACCTGGGACCCCTTGAGGGATGTCAGACTGCTGGTTTCAGCCTGATCTCTGCAGGCTAGGCTGAAGGACTCCACCAGTGCACAAATCCATGCACTGGGTCCCTAATGTATACTTATTAGTATACATATAAGATCTTTGGTTAATCTCTTCCCACCCTTCCTCCTCTCCCCTCCCTTCTGAGATTCATCAGTGTGTTCCATGTTTCCATGCCTGTGCATTGAGCATCTGCCCCTGGTGGTCAGTGTATGTCATAGCTACCAATTGAATGGTCGAACAGTCCCTTAGGCTTTTATATATATATACTAGAGGCCCGGTGCATGGATTCTTGCACAAGAGAGGGTGGTCCCTTAGCCTGGCCTGCACCCTCTCGCAATCCAGGACCCCTCCGGGGATGTAGCAATGCACCAAGTGGCAGGCAGCCAGGGAGGAGCCCAAGCCAGTGCCATGCCACTCACACTCATCCCGGCCTGTTGTGCCTGTCGCTTGGTAGTATGCTGCAGAGTCAGGAGATGCTCCTGCCACCACAGCTGCACTTGCCAGCCATGAGCCCAGCTTCTGGCTGAGCAGCGCACCCTTGTGGGACTGCACCACCAGGGGAAAGCTTCTGCATTAAACATCTGCCCACTGATGGTCAGTGTGCATCATATTAACTGGTCAAACGGTCGTCCCGGTCACTCTGTTGTAACAGTCACTTAGGCTTTTATACATATATATATATATATATATATATATATATATATATATATAGATAGATAGATTCTTAGCAATTTAGAAAGAAGAGAGTGGCCCAAAAGATTTAAACTATTATGGCCATCGTGGTGAAAAGTTTTCAGAAATAATTTAGGGGCTCTGCCTGCTAAACAAGAGTTATGAATAGGCAAAGGTGAGGGGAGAAGTTGAATTAACAAAGTATTCATTAATAGAAAGAAACTATAATCAAAACTAAAGTCATGACTTCCAGAAGCATCCCTCAAGAATGCAAATGAGCCTGTGACCTGAGGGGCCACTGCTTTGCCGTGAGCGATTTCATGTAGAGGAGTGGGGGTGAGGGGGTAGACCCTGATTATAGAAAAGCAAAATAGCCATCATCCTCATGTGTGAGCTTCCTACACATAACTCATGGAACTGTCCAACAAAAAAATTACTCCTCATTGCCAATATTGTTCAATTTCCTTATTCTTGCATTCAAACAATGTCTTTTAGTCTGTTTTAGCCTTATTTCCCCATTATTCCATTACTTCAGCTGCAGCACAGCAAAACTAGACTGCTTAGTCTGACAAATTCTCTAACTTTCTTGTACTTGTGCCTTTCCTCTTGCTATGCCTGACGGGAGAGCCCACTCCCACGCCACACTTATGCAAATCAGCTAGATCTCTTGAATGCTCCCCATCTTTCAAACCCAGCATAAATTAACTTTTCACAGGGCTTTTAATAATCCAATGTGGCTTTGCTCTCTTCTGAATTTGCACAGCACTTTCTACTACCACAAATGGGCACAGTGCTCTCTCTCCATCTTGTCGCTCTACCTGGTTCCATAGTTACTGTTTGTTACTCCGCTCAGTTAAATGAACTTTCCGAGGCAAAGACAGAAACATTTATCTTTATAGTCCTCTTGGCATTCATGAGAGCGACAAAGAAAAGGGGCTCTCGTGTACAGTCAGGACATGTTTGAGAAATAAATCAATACATTTTTTCCTACTTGTAGGAAGTGACTTCTTAGAGGTTGATCTTCAGGCTCCTGATAAAAAACACATGATTATTGTTGCTATGGGGGAGCATCTGTTATGGAAACTTCTCTGGAAAAGAGACTACAGTAAGAAGAAGATACATTACATCTACGAGGAAATGCAGAAACTTCAAAGACGCTGGACAATGAGATATTTCAAGGAGTGCGCATTTGAGATTTTTAAAGTGTAAGATTTTAAGAGGACATAAGGCTGTTCCCTGCAAAAGTCTGTAGATGTTTCAGGTATGAACAGATACCATAATGGGTACTTGGAAACCGGCAGGGCTTCCTGGCCCCAGGGCAGCAGAGGCAAGCGGAGGCTGGGAAGGAATCCAGTCCACTCAGAAAAGAGAGGGCCCCTCTCCTGCTTTTCAGGTATTTTTAGATCTTCTGTGTGATGGGTGACACTGGGCATAGGACAGGAGGGGGGGACTTTGGGTGAATGAGTTCATTGCATATTTTTTCTGTGTTGAAATGCTTTTGTTTTGCTTTGTTTTGTTACTGAGACACAGGAAAGAGTCCAAAATGTAAGTCCACAATCTTAAATCACTGAGTGGGCTTGGAATGAAATGATCTTTGATGAGAACTGCCTTGCACAGTGCCGAGGACAGAACACTGAATCAGTATTTTTGGAATACATGTTGAGCAAGAGATTCATAAGTATTCATGAACCCAAGTGGTCACACAACCATGGAAAAGCATACATCATTTGGCAAACGAATTTTCAGAAAACTTTTCCCTTCCAGGTAAACCTGGTGTCTGTGCCACATTAAATTTGTTGGAAAGCTCAAAACAAATAAACAAACACAAAGAGAGGAGAGAACAAGGGAAGCTGGAGGCTAAAATGGAAACCTGGAGGCTTTGTGCCCCGTGAAGGATGCCTGTCACCCCAACACCCATGTTGTTTAGGATAGTTAACTGATCTCCCCCTTCAACTGAAGGACTGACTCTTTGCCTTGAGTACCTTCAGATGCCCAGAGAGGTTTGTGTGCAGGGAACGCTTGTCATATTCTTCGATGGTCCATGAAGGATTCTTTTTCCTTTCTTCCATAGCTTCCTCCAAGCTTATGTCACCACAGAGTGGATTATTCTTCAGGACTGATGAGAGAGCTGGTGGGGGCCTATCTATGAAGACAGCACCCTCCACACTGGATCCCCTCATTCGTTGAGCAGTGAGATTCTTCTTTTCTCTCTGTTAAGAGGCAGAGACAAGGCTTCTCTTACCAACAGGCCACTGATGACAGAGAATGTAATAGGAAAAAAACTGTACCCCAAAATGTGTTGATTCTGCCTGGAAACCCAACAGATTAGGATAATGAGGAAAGGAGTCTGGGATCTAGTTTCACCTAGAATTCTATTTCATTGAGTTCTTTCTTTTTAAAAAAATATTCTTATTGATTTCAGAGAGGAAGGGAAAGGGAGAGATAGTAACACAATGATGAGAGAGAATCATTGATTAGCTGCCTCCTGTGTACTCCACCCACATTGGGGATTGAGCTCACAAACCAGGCATGTGCCCTGACCAGGAATTGAACTGTGACCTCCTGGTTTTTGGTTGACAGTCAACCACTGAGCCATGCCGGCTGGGCCATTGAGTTCTTTCTTTGCCTATAATCTTTTTGGCTTCAGTAATCATTCATTAAAATACTATTTTATAACTATGAGAAAGATCACTGTTCTTTAATTCAAATAGTAGAATTCTGAACAAAGCCTTTCCCCCCACCCCCAGCTCTCTTGCATTGAGATTTAATAACATTTCATTTTTATTTGTGCATTCCATGACTGATAAGAATAATATTTAATATTGCTCTATTAACCCAGCAAAGTCAAGATTAAAAGGCATTTATAGACATGCCTTGGCTTTCGTGAAAATTCTCTTGGGACTCCTATTTCAGATATCTTGGAGAAATGGACTAAGTTAGCAAAGCACTCATATCTGTGTCTACAGACGAGCTGGCTATTAGATGGCTCTAATATTGACCTTCAGATTTTAACAAACATTTTAATTGAAGCACAATATACATAAAATCAAGTACATATATCATAAATACATTTTCACAACCCATATAAACCTTAAGATTCTACCAAGGAACAGAACAATACCAGCATGCTTCATGCTCTCTTCCAGTCACTATCCCTCTTTCTGCCCAAGGATAACCAGTATTCCAAATTTAACAGCGTAAGTCAGATGGACTATTTTTTTTTTCATTTTATATAAATGGAATCATATAATGTGTGCTTTTCTATGTCTAGTTTGACCTCAGTTTTTTTTCTTCCCTTTTTCCCCTTATGACTACATAGCTATCATGAGGGCAGAAAATGTTTAAGTTAAAATTTGTTCATTGGCCAAATATAATAGAGAAAAAACAAAAAACTTATAGCATAATGGTTCATTTATCATGTGGCATCAAGGCAGAGGAACTCCACATAAGTTAATTTTCAGAAAACTTAGGCTTACCCCTTAAAAACTGGCAGCAAATTTCATTAATTTATAGTGATTTTAAAAATAAATGTGTTTCACAAAACAGAGAAGATTCAATAGTAGCAATATGTTTATTGTATCATATTTATGATCACTAATAGGTTGATTCCCTCAGCATCTACTGGGTATGTAGGTAATGTTAAATATGTATTCATATACACTAAGTTGTAAACTAATTTTACATGGTTTCCTTTTGAAATGGCTAGTGGTCCCAAAAATCATCTATATAAAACCTTTCACATTTTCTGTAGTCTTAGGTTTTCTAATTTTCTTAATCCATATTTTTTACATAATTATAGATAAACCTGGAGATCTTCTCTGACTTTACTAAGTTGTTAGCATGCTCAAAATCAATTTATATTCTGTAATACTGAGGTTTGCAGTGAAATAATAAATCACCTTGACTTAGTATTTCTCTTTAAGATGAATGACCTCATGAAAATGTTTCTGAATTGAGGAAAAACAATTTGATATGAAATTTAGATCATTTCAGATTAGCATAATTCTGACTCAAGCTTTTTCCTTCAAGGCTAGACATCTTTGATCATTTTTGAGGAGGAATAATTCTTCTGACATTGATAAATTGGCTATGTCAGTTTTCTTGCCTGCTAGTCTAGTTCTATAAATGAGGAAACCGTTTCAGGGTAAAGAAAAAATAATACATCCTATTACAATGTGCAAGGCCTTTGAAAAACTAATATATAAAACATAGCAAAATAACCAGAGCTATATTCTAGAATGACATTCAAGTTCTTAATTCTAAATCACATTCTTGAAAGTTTGAGATTTCTCCTCAAACATGGTGCCATTTGTTTTTGTGTTGCATGGCAATCTATGCCTGAAAGAAATATGCTTAAAAAAATTAATAGTATAGCTTTATTAAGAATTTGATGGCTGGATAAAAGTACTAATTGTGGTTGGAGTTCATTTATACTTTGATAATATTTTTCAAATAGGTTAAGAAAAAAAAAGCATGCATTTGATTTCAACTCTTCATCCACATTTTTACATAGATTTCATTTAGCAAAGGAAAACCTAATAGTAATTCCATCATTTTAGTTATATGGACTGTAAGATAACTTACATTTTAAAATGTTTATGCAAAAAAGTAATATTTTATATTTACCTAACCTTTGAGGATTGTGGGCTTAGTTCTCGGTGAGGGGCATGTGGGAGGCAGTGAATGTTTATCTCTCATCAATGTTTCTCTCTCTGTCCATCTTCCTCCCCCTCTCTCTAAAAATCAGTTAAAACAAATTTAAAAATAAAAGTTTTCCCCAGTTTAAATTCACAGAATAGCCTATTGTACCTTCCTCACACACAAGTGGCATCTTGAAATTCCACAAATGTGTGGCATTGGCTTAGCAGTCAAGTGGTAGAAAAAGATAAATCAGTATCAGAAGCTGGAATGATGCCTATTCACATCCTAAAATGAAAATCATTTGGTAAAAATATCATCTGTGGCCACTGGAATTTAATCACCTGTAGCTCCAAAAGAAATACTTACACATTATCAGTGTTCATGTACATATAATGATACCACAAGAATCAGAGCATTAGTATAATACAAGAAAGAGATGAGATGAGAGAAAAAACTGGACACTGTGCAAGAAGAAATTAGAGTTTAGAAATGTTATGCTTTCTACTGTTTAAAATCTGACGGTTTATAGACCCCAAAACTGATATACAGACTTTTTTTTTTTAAGCGCTGAGCCAAAAAAATCCATTAAAATGTCTCAGCTGAATGACGTGACTCGGGGTAAAGATTATGTTTAGGGTGTGGTTTCATAACTAATCCCTGACAGCCTCCAGGAGGCTGTCCTCGAGTCAAAGGAGGGAGGAAGGGAGGCAGAAAAGCAAGGCTTACACTAACAAATATAATAGCTTGCTAATTTTTATAAGATATGTATTACCAAAGAGACCACTACCCTACACCTACAAATTTTTGATTGTTTGAAATAAAAAAACAACAACACACATACACACACACACACACACAAAGACAAGGCAACAACAATAGCCCTAGGCCTGCAAATATCCAGGATTAGGAGCAAACTTTGAATCTTTATACAGGCTAAAAGGAGGGCCCACTTCTGCTATGGAAAAAGGGAATGATGAGCAAGGGCATGTCTCCAAGAGTCTATGGACCTAGACGAGGACATAGTCTAGGACCTGGTCTATGGAACCAAGGGCTTCAGAGAACAATGCCTCAGGACGTCTCGAAAGCAGAAGCATCCCAACCAATCTTCCCCACCTTCAAGGAAGAAGGCCACACACACTGTTCCCAGTGGGATCCCAGAGTTACTGTGGTGTCTTTCCCTTTTCCCTTCAGCCAGGGAGACAAGTATATATTGGCTTTCCAGAATGATAGCCTGTGACAGTGCCTGGCTAGATACTCACCAAATTCACTGATTTTTCATGGGCATACAACAGCCACGCAAGAAAGGTGATTAAGAAACAAACCCAGTAAAGACCAGTATCTCACAGTCACGGGAGGAGAGCCTCTTACCCTGGGCCTGTCGTTCCAGCTCACAGGTTTGGTGAGGAATGTTCCTGGGTTCTGAAACAGATGTGATGGAAGCCAAGAAAAGACAGAGCAAAGGGATTAGTCAGAAAACATTCTGAAATCTAACTGCTAATCAGAAAAAAAAGGCCCACCGCAATATCTGCAAAAACATATTTTACATTTAAACTAAATTTAAAAATCAGCCCTTTCCTTTCATTACCTCGTTTTATAAAGGGATTGGCAGAAATATGGAGAGTAAAATTCCAAGTGCCTTCATCAGATGCATGCCCCAAATAATTTTAACAACCAGAAACATTCAATTTTGGAGAAAGTTTGCTCAGTGCACTGAGATGAAATTTGTTGTGAAGCTCCCTTATTTCTCCAGTGAGGGAGCATAAGGAATATAAACGTAGTAGAATCAAGGGGTATTTGCTTGTGCCCCCTGCAAATACGGTGACCTGCGTATCCGCACTGAAGGGAGTTGACTGGGGCCACTGGCCAGCCTGTGAACCTCAGCACTCCCTTTTTTTTATGCACCGTATTGATTCAGCTCATTAAAAAATGGCATAGGGACTCAACTCTGAAAGTAAAATGTGCATTTTTAAAAATCTGAAATACAAATAAATCATGAATGTAAATAATACATACAAGGTGTCCCAACAATGTACAGATACTTTGAATAATTATAAAGGCAGTGCTTACTAAAATACATTTCATTTTCAAAATGTAATAGAACCCTGACCGGTTTGGCTTAGTGGGTAGAGCATCAGCCTATTGACTGAAGGGTCCCAGGTTCGATTCCAGTCAGGAACATGTACCTTGGTTGTAGGCACATCCCCAGTTAAGGGGGTGTGCAGGAGGCAGCTGATCAATGTTTCTAACTCTCTGTGGAAAATCAATAAAGTATATTTACAAACAAACAAACAAAATGTAATAGAATCTACTTGAAGAGTGTATACATTTGTTTGGGGTATCCTGTATATTTAAGAATTCAGCTTCATACTTGGGATCTAGGGGATTTTTGTTTTAACTTCTGAGTTACCAGCAATTTTGAAGGCAATGTTTGTAGGTTAAATCCTTTGACATTCCTTGAGGTAGTCTGAGTCCCACACGCCATGCACCTACCTGGGGTGATGTAATACCAAACGATAAGCTGACACAAATCTGAAATTGGTGTGGATTTCAGGTGAGTATAAAATCTACTGCTTGAGTTGGCCATGTAGCTTGACAGATGTATTTAAGTATATCCTCCAACACCACCATACACACACACACACACACACACACATCCTTTCACAGTATAAATCAAATAATGCAAGTGATATTATCTGCTGTTTTTCAAATTATAATGAAAGGATAATTTTAACACATTTTGAATATTGACAAATGATGATAATGCACATTTCTTATACTTGCATAGAAAATCACTTTTCTCAATTGCTTTTGTCATATTTTATTTGTTCTCAGTTTTAAGAAAATATGCAAAATGAATATTATTCTAATTCTGCAAGTGAAATAAACTGAAGCATGGACTGAATACAGGCCATAACAGATATCTTTCACACTGTCTTGCTGAGAATATGACACAAGAAGCCAAATTTCTAACCTCTTTATTCTATGCTTAACATCTCCCCAATAGAGGGAATGTTTTAAATTAAGAACTATTTGACAACTGCCACCTGTGTATCCCAACACCTCAATTCACTTGGTATATAAGCTCCTTCTTCCAGTTATTATAGTTACTGAAAAATTTCATGTGTCCATTTCTTTATAGATTTATTTTTTTATCCAAAGAATATATCATTCCTAGATTTTAAGATTCAGCCAAGCAGAGAAGAATTGCTTATTGACATATTGCAAACTGAAGTAGTAAATATAATTGTTGTTACTCATAATTTGTGTTACACCAACCCAACTACCTGAATTTGTAATTGACTTACACCAACATGCATTATTTCAATAGTAAATTGGTCTTTGTTTCAATCATTTAATATTTCTTTTTAGGGTAGAAGGATAACTTTATCTGCAGTTCATAATTACCAATAATTTATTCAACAGATTTTTTTTTTACCTCCTTGGTTTTTCCTTGAATAACTATTCAACCCAATAGAGGCTGTGGAAAAATATACCCTTTAAAATTTTGCATTTCATTCAGATTTTTGGAATAATATTCTACAGAGCTTGAAACTGTGAAGTTCCACATGAAGAAAATAGGTCAACTCCAGTACCAAACAAAAGATGTTAGATGTATGTGTTCCAACCTGAAAGGAATTTGTTGGATATGTTTTCTTAGACTTAACTTCATAGCATAAGAAAGCCAAGGTTTTTTTTTTTTTAACCGATTTTTGAATCATTTTACTCCATGATATAAACAAACAGTATCTAAAGGAGGGATTTCATTGCACTTAGCTTAAAACTATACAAAACACAAAAGTAAAAACCACCAAAGGTGCAGACGATGGGCAGGAGGGTTTTGAGGATTCCAAATAGAAAAGATGCAAAAATTTGAAAAAGTCAGTTGTCATAATAAGCTTGCCTTACCATGGAAATAAATTAAAACCCTTATAGGTGGAGGACACACTTACATAATCATCTGAGTGTACTTGATTTTGAATGATCTCATGATAAAGGTCCCCAGGAGCCCACAAAACGCACCACAAAGGAGTCACTTTACACCAGGGCTCCTGAGGAGCAACTGTTTCTTAAAGGAAAACAAATTTCTGCTCAGGGAATCTGAACCACTCCGAAGGATTTAATGACTTGCAGGGCTTTGGGGGTCAGTCACATCTGTTCTGAAATGCAATGCTTCTTCCTGTTTCTAAATAGACTAACCCTTAACCCCATTAGCCCTCGCATCTTAAAACAAAGATTATTCCTGTTTCCCAAGCTGGGCAGCAGTCAGGGCCTTTATGTTTATCCCAGCACATGGAACTCATCACAGTTTTATTCTCTCCTGGTCAGCAAAAGGAAGGAAGGAAGGTGCAAAGGAAGAAAGCAAGAAATCAGGTTTGCCTGAGGTTGGAAGACCTGGCTGGCATGTCCTTCCACAAGGAGGGACCAAGAGTGTCTACAATGACAGCCAGCACCTTTGCAAGGTGGCGAGTTCCCGCTATATCCGCTCCTTCCATCCCGAACTTGCCGTTTTCCTGCCGTGGGTCTTTCCTGCACGAAATGAAGGGCAGTTGGTCTGAAGGAGATGTATGAGTCTCTAATGTAAGTTTCTGATGCTTCGTGCTTAGAATATACCAAAGAAAGAAAGAAAGAAAGAAAGAAAGAAAGAAAGAAAGAAAGAAAGAAAGAAAGAAAGAAAGAAAGAAAGAAAGAAAGAAAGAAAGAAAGAAAGAAAGAAAGAAAGAAAGAAAGAAAGAAAGAAAGAAAGAAAGAAAGAAAGAAAGAAAGAAAGAAAGAAAGAAAGAAAGAAAGAAAGGAAGAAAGAAAGGAAGAAAGAAAGGAAGAAAGAAAGGAAGAAAGAAAGGAAGAAAGAAAGGAAGAAAGGAAGAAAGGAAGAAAGGAAGAAAGAAAGATAGGTTTTCCCTCCAAAACTTTATTTGCAAATTGGTTTGAAAAATCCTGAGAGAAATTAGGTGAGGGCTAGGCAAACTCTAAAATGAAGTCATGCTGGGAAGCTAATGTGTGAAGGGGAATGAATGGGTGGGAGAATGCCCATCTTTTATATAAAGTGATCTGAGCCTTTCCTCTGTTAAGGAAGAGAGGCCTTTTCTCTGTGGCCAGAATGAGTAAGCTAAGCTACCTTGCCCTCGGCCCCCTCCAGCCTTCCTTTTGCACGGATGCTGCAGTGGCAGGGAGCGAGAAAGGAGCCCCGGCCCCCGTCCTCGGGATCGTACCTGTGAGTAGACGAGGTTTTGCCAGTGCTGGGCAGCAGGGTAGCTCCCGCCCGGAAACCTCACCAGGCTGGCCTGCAGGAGGGCCGAGTTCCTCATCAGCAGCTTCACGTCCAGCTGCAGGAATTTGTCAGGATGGTTGTTATTTGGCAAAGCAGAGAGATCCATGTCCCCCTTCGTCTACGGTAGGAAACAAAGGCGAGTGAGGCTGGTCCCGTCACACTCGTCCATTATGAATGAGCCTGAGGATGCTCCTCCCGGTACCTGAAACCAGCTCTCAGCTGTACTCCGATGCCACGCTCAGAATGACACATCAGCACACGGAACAGTGCAGCACCCTGCCTTTTCACCCGCCCCAGACACACATACACACACACACACATACACACACACACATATACTCACACACACACACACACACACACATACACACACACATACACACACACATATACTCACACACACACACACACACACACACACACGCACGCGCGCGTGCCTTTAGGATGCTTGAATGGGGCTGCACATTAAAATTAATAGGATGCCAAAATTAGATGGCACCTAATGCCTCTCCACAGAGTCAGAAATAACAGCCTAATAAAGAAGAGCTATTCTTTGGGGAAAGACTGCCAGAATTTCGGTATCACGGTCCATCATTTGGAGCACATGAGATAGTCACTGATAGAGACGTAACTTAATTTTTCTCTCTGATCATCGCTAAGCTAACCCGGCGGACTTGGCCCTGCCCACGCCGCCTCACATGTGATAGGCAAGATCTTGTTTCTTCTCATCTTTTCACTCCCAGCGTCTCAGGCTCAGGTGAAACCTAATCCTGTTTCGCTTGTCAGCTTCGTTTTGAGTCCAGAAATGGCAAGCATGGGCCTCTTTACAGTAAATTAGTGTCCCAACCTACTGTCTTAACCCATTCACTCCCTGAGGCCCCTTCGACTCCTCCTGCCCGCACACACTCCTACGATGCTTTTGGGGTCTGCACAGGGTACATTTGGAACCACGCGGGAACATGGCTGACCTGCTGTCCCAAGTGAACCCATCTGCTGGCCAGGGAACCAAGGAGGGAGGGAGGCCACAGGCAGTGGGCTGTCAGGAAGCGAGGAGGACTTGAACGGAGATAAGCTCCCTTGTGTGAGCCACGCTGCCTTAGGGAACCCATGCTTCTCAGCGGGAAAGGACTGATTTCCATCCAGAGGGAGAGAAACCCTCCTGCTTGCGAGAAGGCGAAAGACAGACACCCCAGCAGTTCTGAAAGACGTGAGTGGTTTGCTCCGTTTGCACCTCTGTAGGCCCGTCTGACTCAGCAGGAAGGTTTCCCGTCCAGGGGGAATGGCTACATGTGGAATGCATCAGCAGCACATTTCAGGAGAGGCACATCAAGCCGTATAAGAATCGATGTTCTCGAATTGAGCAAGACACTGGAGAGTACTGGCTTTCTCTATAGCAATAAGCACGAGGGTGTCAAAAAAAACACAAAACCAAAACATCTGCCCTACTTATGACTGTAAAACTGGATTAAGCAATCAACACTTTCTATAGGAATTTTTTTGGACCAAACTCTCTCTCTCTGTGTGTCTTAACAATATTAGAAATACATCTGGGTGGTTTTATCAATACATTGACTGGATAAAAGTACTTCATAATGACAATAACCAGCTCAATCGTAAGTGTTTCAAGAATCAAGTGTATTATGTGCCTGTGCTTGGTACTTTCTGGAATTTTCTCGTTGCTGCCAGAATACATCTAATGAACAAATATTTCTCAGGCTGTTTGCTTTTCCTGAAAGATTCTTTGGGGAATAACAAACATCTTCAAGGAGAACCTAACTTTTTTGGCTCTCTCTATTGGCAAGCGGAGACACAGAACTTAGATCCAAATATATTGATTAGGCCAGGCCTTTTTCTTAGCCAGATTATGAGGTGGGTGAAACAGGCCTTTAGTTTTCCTTGGGTGTTCTTCCTTTAGATCCCTCCGCCATGCTCTAGATGCCCAGAGGGTTGTATACTGTCTTTTTGCTTACAAATCGTTTAGTCTCAGACTCCATCTTTCCCCACCATGCTTCTCCCCACCCCTCCCCAACCATCAGTTCTTGTTTCTCACTACTTCCCCTGTGGGTATCCCCCCGTGGCTGACAATGAGGAAATCAATCCTTCTCCCCACTCCCTTGTACTGGCCATACCCCAGCCCCAACCCCTGTGCCTCTACTTGTGCCAGTCCTCCCGTCTGGAAGCATTTCTCCACAGCCCTGGCTACTGAAACCTCGAAACATCCTTTATGGGTCATCTCCTGTGCCCGGCCTCTCTTTCACAAAGCCTTCACATATGTTCCTTAATAGGAATGATTTTCCTTCTTTTGAAATCTTAGGGTGATTTGTTTATCCTCTCATCTTACTTCCTGGTTAGGGCACCAGGTTATGGGCTCAACCCTGTGTGGGTAGGCAGGAGGCAGTCAATCAATGATTCTCTCTCATCATTGATGTTTCTCTCTCTCTCTCTCTCTCTCTCTCTCTCTCTCTCTCTCTCTCTCTCTCTCTCTCTCTCTCTCTCTCTCCTTCTTCTCTGACATTAATAAAAATAGGAACAAAATAAAATAACTTCTCTGCCTTGTTTTTTTTTTTTTTTTTTTTTAAAAAGGAATTATATTGCAGGGACAGGCTGGTGGAAATGTGGATCTCTGGCACTTCTCAGTCCTCTGGATGCAGGTAAGCATTTGCTTTCTTCACAGAAAATTTTTATAAAAGTATCATTTCCCCTTGGGTTTGGATTTAGCATTATTGTTTTCTGAACCATGAGGATCATAAAAATAGAATTAAATGTTGTTCACTAAGCAAAACTTTTTACATATTTACTTTTTTCTTCTTTCTTCTCATTCTCTGACCTGTCCTTTCTTCATCTCTCCTCTTTCATTTTTACCTTTCTTTTTTTCTTTTCTTTCTTTTTCCCCTCCTCTCTAATTTGTGCCAATAACATATTGAAATACCTGAAAGTATTTTCAGCTGAAAAGCCTGTACAATTCAGATGAGCAGTTGGGAATTCATCAAAATTATGTGAGAGAATTTCAAAATTAATTGGATAGTTTAAATTACAAAGGAAGTCTGTGATGAGATTATAATCTTGTGCACCTATTTTCAAAAGTGGTGAACAAGAGAGGCAATCAGGATAACTGAGTGCACAGAATCTGGAGGCCTGGTGGTTTTATTACATCCAACTAAACAAGTTACCCAAATTCTCTGAGCCTCAGATTGCTGTTATAATGTGAAGATATTAACACTACCTTACAAGGATGCTGTGAGGTTTAATAGGTAGAGTGGTAAACATAATGTTTAGGATATAATGAGCACTTAAGAAGGTTTACTGTTATTTTAAGAGATTGAAAATATAGGTTTTCATCTCAGTTGTCTCTGTGATAAAGCAAACTTGAAAAAATTAAAAATCACCTATAGATAAAAAGCAAACTATATTTCCAAGAATCCCCTTCTTTGTGTGATTCCGGGTTAGAATTGGCCAAAAGAGTAACTTGCATGGCATTTGGAAGGCAAAATGGAAGCAGCATCCATTAATTCGAAAGTCTTCTTGTAATCAGATGCAGGGACAGAGAGAGGCACAGGTGCTTGGCAGTTTCCAAGTGACCTTTGCTTTTTTGAGCTCCATGCCCATTTCTTTTTTCCAGCTGTTGGACCTGCTGACTAACAGCAAACCCAGGTCCACCACCTGATGTTTGGCTGTGGACCTACAAAGGAGGGAGGTATACAGAGGCAACACCATCCTGCAGACATCTTTACAAGTCAATCTTTCATAGTCATACTGACCTGGATGTGCCTGGCTGCTCAGATCAGTGGGTGACTCCTGATTCTCCAACTCTTCTCATGGATCTTCCCCAGCTCCTCCTGATGTTATGAATTGGGACCCGTTATCCCATAACACTCCAACTCTGTTTGGCTGACTGAACCATGACAATTACTAGTACAAAAAATAAATGTTTCCAAGGAAGAGAATTTAAGAAATGAAACCTGGAATTCGTTCTCTGTTCTAACTGGACTCCATGGCATTAGTGACCCTCTTTCCAGTAGGTGGGACACTGGTCATCCATGGCACAAAATGCCAACATGGTTATGTAAATTCTCACCTGTTATCATCTGGAGTGAAGGGCCTATAGAAAGCGAGTACCTGCTGCACAAAATCTTCTTAATAGAAACAAAGAGGATAATGACTGTGGGGTTGATTCATTGCTAAAAAGACTAGAGAAGTTAAAGAGAGAAATAAGCGTGAGGTTTAAAAGTCACCGCCCAGGGTCTAAGCCATCTTGAAATAAAACCTTTTCAGCTCTTCTGCTCATGTTCCACCATCTGTCATGTCTTCTAAATATATATCCAGAGCAGGTCCCGGAAGATTCAAGGGGGGACCAGACAAAAAGTGTGACTTGTGAAGTGGTACCATACATATCAAAAGACCTGCAGGATTTCACTAATTCATATTTACTGAAACCCAAAGTACACGTGTCATGTTTCTTAAGAGGGTTTTGTTAGGATGGAAAGCATACAATGCTGAATTAGCCTAAATGTCTTTGACACGGGTTCACGAAGGAGAGATTCTAGTTGATGCCGGAAGTAATTCTATCAATTTATCGGAAAACTGAACCCAATGGTTGTCCTTACTGAATGAAGTTGAGATGCTAAAATATACTTGCCATAAGGTACTACAGAGGGAGGGATACAAATGTTTAGGGAGATTGGTTTTAATATGATCGATGTGTTCACTCACTGGTTTCATATGTCCCCTCAGTGTGTCTAGATGGCACTCCCTTCACTAAGGCTTTGAAAAATTCATTGTTGAAGGCAGCATTGGAATCCCTAAAGAACTCTCAAGTGGCTAGTCTGCGAATGTCAGGAAAGACATTGGGAAATGCTGCCATTGAGCTGGGCTTCCTGAATTGAATGAGAAAATGGAATACCATAAGGGCAGGAACCAAATGGCTGAATTTCACCACCAAAGACCAGGAAAGCACAGTTACCAGAAAGGGCATTAGAGTCAAAGGGGTAGAGGGAATGGTTTGACCAGCAAAGATTTTTGGTACTGCATAATTGATCCTACGACTGAAATAGATTCACATTCTACTAAAGTCTTTTATTTGTACAAGCACGAAGTTTTTAGTCTTAGGGAAGAGAAATCTGATTTGACTCACCACAGGAGGGAATTGCATTCCTAGATCAAATTCCACATGAGAGCAGCTTCACAGATCCAGAACTCCTTGGATGAAGAGGAAGCCAGATCTTCTGAGGAAAGATTTTGTCACACTTTCTAAAACCCATCCTGTGAATCTACCTTCTAGTCTTTCTGGATGGGAACTATATATTGGGGAAAGGAAAATAGTCTGACTTTCTGATGATTCCTGGGTTCTTGGTGACTCTACATTGCCATTGCAGTCCCACAGACAGAGCAAAGGCTGATGGAAGCCAGATAATTGGTTCAAGCTTGGCTTAAATCTGCCTCTTCGTGGACTCAAGAGTCGCAGAGCCCACCCCATAGTAACTTCCCTAATTCTGGAAGGTCTATTTGAAACAGACATGGTCAAAAGACTTTGTGTGGTGAGCACCATATAGTACACAGATGTTGCATTATAAAGTTGTACACCTGAAATTTATATAATGTTATTAACCCATGTTATTCCAATGAATTTAATTTAAAAAAAACAAACATAAACTGGCAAAAAACCATCCTCCCCTCTTTGGTGCCATGATCTGTGGCACGAGGGCTTTCACGGTAGTAATGCCAATGGAAACACCGGACGTAAAGAAGCCAGATGACACCACGCACGCAGAGCGTTGTGTTCCAGGTGAGGGACCCCCCGGGGGGGACTGTGAAACTTGTATAATGAGAAATAAACACATCTGCCCTTTGCTCCAAAGAGAGACACCAACTCTATCTCCCAAAGCTGCTCACCACACAAACATCCCTTAGAAGATATTCCAGAACAAAAGCAGACAGTGCCAAGACTTGTGGAAACATGACAGACCTACGAAGAATTGCCTCCCAACAGGAAAATTTCACATATTTTATTGCAAAAAAAAAAAAAATCTAAGAAATCATGTGAATCATGTACAACATTTTCTCACAAGAAAAAATTTAAGCTGGTTTTTTTTTTTTTAACGTTTCACAGAATTGTAAAACGTTTTAATTTTTATAAAGAAAAGCACACAATGAAACTACCACAGTATTATCAGCTTTTAGTCTTTCCTTCTTTCTAGGGAAAAGGCTGAAAAATATTTAGTAAGTTTTCTCATTATGATTTGTGAGGCTTACGTACCTACTATATATTTTTTTAAATCTGCTAAAAAAATACAAGGAAATGGGTGGATCAATGCTTTCTTTCTTCAAAATATTTAAAAAAGCTAAAATCTAATGACAACATGTTAAAAATAATACACATTTTTGTAGGATGTTACCATTTCTGTAACGGTTTCTCTACACTATATCGACAGTGCAATGGTGATTCAGTGTAAATCATTAATTACAGTGTTTCATTGTTACAATACTTGTGTTCAAGTACATGTTCGTGAACATGATCAAAGTCTCTATTTCGATTTTTTTCTTTTCCATTATGAAAATAAGGTTATAATTACAGTAGCATTTTTCCTATAGATGTCTCTAAGTCTGAACCAAATTCATAATACATTCTCTAAACACCTGTTCAACCCTATGAGGTTTGTTATGTTTATACACCTCTCCTTCAGAGTACAGAAAATGGGCTAACTCTGCATGAGGACACAAAAAACAATTTCCCCATAGATAGCTAAACGTATGATGCTAAATTAGTATACATTATGCATAACTCAATGGCATTGGTGGGGAGAGAGTAGCACCTTATAGCCAGCCCTAACTTAAAAAAAACACACTAATAATCTTAGTTTTCTTTTTCTTTTTCTGGTAACTGGATCCAACGCATTCATATAAATGACTTAGGAAGCCCTATCGTAAAAATCACAATGTTTGTATTACCAAAAATAAGCACCATATTGATGTTTGGCAGGCCCCAAAATAAATTAATTTGATTAAATTATATGTAACCTGATAATATTTGGTCAGAAAAACATGCTAGCGCGTGTGTGTGTCTATAAATAATGTAACTGCAAAGAGCTGTGAGCCAGCCAGCCTGCTAGAGGTCAGCTCTTTTGCTGCAGCTTTTGGGCATAGAAGTCCCTGCAGGTCTCGCAGCAGCGCTGATACCACCGCATGTCCTGACACAGGTTCTTCTCGCGTATCACTCGGCAGTACACGGGCCACTGATCTCCCAGGCACTTGAAAGTCAGAGCAGCTGTGAAGCAGAACACAGGAAACTTAATACAGGTAGCTATCCCGGGGGTGTCACGAGTAGAAGCCAATAGCATCATGTAAGGGGGATGGTGTCCACTGACTCATTTATAGTCCTTGTGCAACTTAAAACACAGAGCTGTGCACATACACACACACACACACACTCACACACACAACACACACACTCACACATACACACACACACACACACACTCACACACACAACACACACACTCACACATACACACACACACACACACACTCTCACACACACGCACTCACACACACACACACTCGCACACACACACTCACACACACACTCACACACACACTCACACACACACACACACACACTCTCACATACTCACACACACACACTCTCTCACACACACACACACACATACACACCCTGAAATAAAGGAGTAAAGTGAATGAATAATGCTCTCACGTATTTAATACAGATATTCTCAAATTCAATGAATTGTCCTGCAAGTGGCTTTTAAAGGTCAATTTTATGGTTTTTCATTTAAGTTTCTTTTGGGTTTTTAGTTGAGAGGATTAAAAACACAAATAAATGTGCTCAATATATCTACCTTTATGGGAATAAAATTTAAGTATTATTATTGATGAATTCACAAAGAAATAGCAAAACAAAAATATGCTTGCACATTATATTTTATTCTTTCCTCTATTTTTATATTTCAACTAGAGGCTCGATGAATTAAACTCGTGAAGGGGGGTGGGGGTGTCAGTCAGATATCCTTCTCACAATGCAGGACTGCTGGCTCCCAACCTGCCTGCCTGATCACCCCTAACCACGCCCCTGCCAGCCTGATCGAAGCCTAACTGCTCCCCTGCTGACACCATTGCCCCTAATTGTCCTCCCCTATCAGCCTGATCACCCCTAACTGCCTTCCCTTGCCAGCCTGGTTGCCCCTGGTTGCCTTCCCCTGCCGGCCTGGTTTCCCTCAACTCCCCTCCTCTGGAGGCCTGGGTCCCCCCCAACCTTCCTCGCTTTCAGTCCTGGTCCCTCCCAACTGCTCTCCCCTTCTGGCCTGATCACCCTCAACTGCCCTCCCTAGCCAGCGATCTTGTGGTGGCCATCCTGTGTCCACAATGTGAGCAGCCATCTTCTGTGTTGGCGTGATGGTTAATTTGCATATCACCTCTTTATTAGATAGGATTACAGTTCACATTAAATATTGTTTATATTAGTGTCAGATGCACAGCAAAGTACTTAGAAAATCATGCATTTTTACAGAGTGGTCCCCTTCTTCTTCACGCACCCAGCTGACCCCATCCATAGTTATGATATTATTCCCCATGTTGAATATATATCTATGTGGCTATTCTGTAACTACCAATTTGTTCTGCTTAATCCCTTTACCTTTATCATCCAGTTCCCCAAACCCCCTCCCTCTGCCAACTGTCAGCCTGTTCTCTGTATCTATGAGTCCTTCTATTTTGTTTGTTTGTGGGATAGTAATTTAATGTACCTTTAACATCAAAGCCACTTATCATGTGAATGAAACTTATAGCATTAAAGTGTTTAAAATGAGAACTTGATATAAAAATATTTGTCATGTAAATTTAGGCTCAGGTTTTCTGAAGAAATAGTGTGTCTGGCATGCATAATAAAAGTCAGTCTTGCTACAATTCTTTTTTTGCCACTATTCTACTATATTTCATTATTTTACACTTAGAAACCTTAGATTTTCCAATCACCGTGCTTCTGTTTTTGGGGATAAGAAATAATAAACAAAACAATGCAATTTTAATTAAATTCTTCTTTTAGGTCATTATTTTCTGCCACATACTTTAAGAAGAACTCCAAGTAATTGCTGGATAAAGGGATTTATATTGTTTGAAATACATGGATTTAGCTGCATTTGCAGTATGATTGCTTAACTTTTTGTTTTAACTAGGCTTAATTCTCCTTGAACTGATTATTTCTTAGAAATGTTAATTATTTGGCTCAAAAAAAGAGAAATTTTGTATGTCCACAAAGAACCAAACTTTTCCATTTGATTGAATCATATGCCTGGGAGAGTATCTATAACAATTTACGATTAAATTGTTCTCCTGAAGATTATGTACACAGATCAAAACGGAAGGTGTTAAACATAGATTAACCCAATAAATGCCAGGCAACAGTGCTGGTAAAAGCCACTAATTGCCACAGACATAAAGGCTAATTCATTCATGAATATTTGTTATGCAAGTGCAGGCTACATTTAATTAAAAGACATACCCTACTTCTTCATGACAGCTGATTAAATAACTGGTATTGAGAATTCACATGAAAAGCATGTACAACAGAAAAGTCAATGTAATAAATATTTCTAGTAGCTATTTGTATGTCATATTATATCCTTAGGTATGAAAAAAATTATACCTTTTGTTTGGTGGTATAGACCCATGCACTCATTTGTCTTGAAAGTCATTTTTTAATCTAAGTCTCTCCAAAAGATAATTTGTACCCAGGAACACAAGAAGGATGCTGACAGTGGAGAGAAGATCTAAGACATATACTACAAGTCCCTTTCAACTAGACACTACCTTAATTGATAGTTCTGCCATGAGACTGGTCAAAACCCAAAATATGGCTATACCCTTCAACCCTTCACATGATGAGCTTGGGTGGTTTACATTCATATTTCCAGGGTCTGGTTCTGAGTAGACAGCTTCAGGGATCAAAATAGTTTCTTTTTTAGGGTTCTTTGCCCACCTGGCCATTTGGATTAACCCACTGTAAAATACAGCCCATTTGGTTAGGACCAAACTAATTCGTATCCACTTATAGCTAAGCTTTAAAGTGATGTGCAAAATAGAAGAAACCATGAGTATTTCCATATTTCTCAAAGCCAATCCCTTACCCAGCCTGGGTGATGTTATGGTATTTACGTTAATCTTCTCATTGCAGGGCTGAAGGTGGCATGGCCTGTATGCTGCAGGCTTTTCTGAAGAGAAACACTCATTTCCATGTCTTCCTGTGATCTTGTGCATGCACTGGATAACACGGGACTGCATTCCTTTGCCACAGGTAATTGAGCACTGGTAGAGAGAGAGAGAGAAGGCTTGTTAAAAGTCCTTTTTGCTGTTTCTCTCTTTTAGGCTGTGAGCCACCTTCTCCCCGTATTTCTTCAAATTCAACACGAGCCCACAACATCCAGAGTTGATGCAAAACATGGGCTAGAAACGGGGATGCTCATACTTGGGTACAATGTTTTCTGTGCTCTCTGGCTGACCTCAGGCAGAGCTTAGGGCGATGCAGGACAAAGGCGAGCAGAGAAAGCCCGAGAGTATCAGTCGGCATGGAATAGAATGACTCATATCAGACGTGCACTTGGGCAGACAGTCTTTAAAAGTTCTATCTACTTTGCAACAAAAATTTGACTTGCTATTTTTCAATTTAGTCATTGATCTCAAGAGTTAGCATACGCCCAGCTGTAAGGCTGGATGCCTGTGGCAGTTTTTGTCTCCTCATCTACTCTCTTGCTCTGGCCCTGAAATGTTGATCAACAGTTTCAATATGTCTTATCAACCTGGCGTGTGATGGAAATAGCTGCTATTTCTTGGCAGATGATACAACATCCAATACTATGCTAATAAAAATATCTGGTAACCTGGATTTTTCTAATAAAATACCCTTTCAATGGATTCCTTGTATTTCATAAATGCAGTTTGTCTTCATTTGTAAGATATTTTGCAAAGAAAAATGTGTTTGATGTACAATGGTCTTTTAGTAGGGAAGTTTCTTGGGTCCCCATGTATCCCCAGATTTGATTTGTTGCACAAATAAGCTGGTGCTTATTTGACAGAGAGAATAAAGTGATTCTAGGGTATCACAATTACATGAGAGGGAATATGCTTGTGTTTCTGAAAATAATGACTTATTTTACTAGTCATCTTACCCATATTGATCTTTAGCCAAATGATCTTAGTGTATTCTCATTGAAAACTGGTAAATATTTCCTGAATGTCCCCTTTTAGATATACAGGCATAAGATTTTAATGTGTTTTTTTTCCCTTTGTGCTTTATCCCCAAGTCATTACTAGACTGCACTCACTTTGCCATCAATTCTTCCTTTACATCGTTACGGGTCCCAGCTCTTCTTCTCATTTGCACAAGAATCATTCTACACAAACCCTACTCACCTCAAGCCTAGTCTGCTAATGTTAGTTTAGTCCCCAGTCTTCCAATCAATCCCACTTGTTAATACTGAATAGGCATTCTTCCAACGTTGCTTTACATATATAATCTCATTGGACAGAAATCTTTGATTACTGAGTCACTGACTGCAAGATAAAGCCCAGTATCCCTGAATCTCCAGGCTGGTGTTTATCTATCTCCTCAGCTTTACTGTCTACCCTTCACTGTAGGAATCATTTGCTCTATTATAGATTAACTAGAGGCCTGGTGTACGAATTTGTGCATGGGTGGGGTCCCTCTGCCTGGCTGGTGATTGAGGCTTATTGGGGAGAGGGGCAGCCAGCTGGGGAGAGGAACCCCAGGGGGTTGGCCAGCTGACCCCCCAATCTGGGCCTATTTGGGAAGCTTTCTGGCATGAGGGAGGGATTGCAGTAGGTTGGCCAGCTGGGGGAGGGACCACAGGAGGTTGGCTGTGGGAGCACACTGACCACCAGGGGCAGCTCCTGTGTTGAGCGTCTGCCCTCAGGTGAGTGTGCATCATAGCGACTGGTCAACCAGTCATTCTGGTCGTTCCAGTCATTCAGTTGTAACGATCACTTAGGCTTTTATATATAGATCATGCCCCTGCATTTTCTATTCCCACATCTACAATTGTATCCATAGTATTACTCTTTTCCAAATGCCTGGCTGCTTTTCAAATCATAATCCATTAAGTGTTCCACAATTACCCGAACTATTTACGCATATTTATGGTTTATTTTTCTTGTTAACTCTACAATCTGAATGTTTCCAGTTCAGTTTAAGCTTTACTATAATATAAAACTATTATAAGAGGAGTAACTATTTAACATGGTCTTTCTTTCTTAAAAGCATCTTAATACCAATCTATAAAATTGATATATTTATATAAATGAAGATATTACGTTTCTTAGAAAAATATATTCAAGAAAATTCAAAATAATTAAACTAAAAACTTTTAAGGGGTTAAGTTAATATGGGAAAATACCATCCTAGTATTTATTCCTAAAATTTATGCAGATCTTGAAATATTTGTGAAAATAATAATAACAGAGCTTTTTAATAGATGAACTCATTCTGATAGTAGAGGAAGTTCACAATCATGTCATTGAAGTCCAGGAATAAGTCACAGGCTATTCCCAAAACTTTTGATTAATTTTATATCAACTCCATAAGACATGAGCAAATCAATGTAACATATCATTTTTCAGAATTATAAAAAATTCGACAAAGTAACAGAATAAATAATTTTAGCAGATAATGGTTAAATAGTATCTTTCATAAAAAGCTCAAAAACTAGAGAGAAAAAATGTTAGTTGTATTCCTTTTGCAAGTTAAATTTTGTAACTTGTATATGGGAATGACCCAGAAATAAAAATAGTATCCAGGAAATAATAAAAGTTCTAGAATTAATTTAATTAAAACAGACTCATTTTTACCTTTGAAAGATTTAGGATAAGTTTTATTATAAAACATGGAATTAAATAGTCTAATAGCCTGAAAAAGTAATTCTCATTATAATACTTTCATAATAAAATATTAACCTCTTACTAATAATTATTTTATTTATAACACATATTTTAGTAAAAAAATTGTTACAAATGTGTAGAAAATGAACAAATATTTCTGTTCACTGAAATTCTAAGATATTTTCTAAATTAGTTCTTACTTTATTATAATATTATAAAGTATACTAAATAATTGAATATTTTCTCAAGTCATATTGCTATGATTAAAGATAGACATTAAAAGGAAAAACTAAATTAATTCTGGTCTTGAAATGAGGAGACCTGGGCTCCAATATTGTCACTAGCAACTAATTTACCAGGAATTTTTTTTTTCTTTTTGGTAAGCAAGGCATTGGAGGAGATCATAGCTATAATTTCAGGACTAAATTACTATGAAAGTAAAAACTCCAAATTTTATTAAAAATTACTGTAGTCTGGCAATTTTTAAGTGGTGAAGGCGTGAAACAGTAAGGACTCTAGTTTCATTATCTGATTATTCACTGTACCACCCAACAATCGTATGATAGAAATTCTGCTCAGTAGAGTCTCAAAATATAATTTGTTTGCTTGTCTTAGAATCATTTATTGGTTTTCTATATGTTTATATATCACCCATTATGTTCAGGATCCCATGCAGAAAATATAAACAGCAGAAGTTATTTATACTTTGGAGCTAGTACTTTATTCCATAATCTTTATTATAAAACCCAATGACATAAAATAACACTATAAACTTTCACTAAAGGCCAAAATGCTAAAATGACAATTTGCCAGCAACCAGTAAACAAACACAGGGTTACCAGATAAGTTGCCAATGATCTTTCCTTTACACGGAACATTTCCTGACAAGAATATTTTTTTAAAAAGAGAATTGGATTGCCTGACAAATATTCTATTCCCCAAACAGTTTACTATCCATCACCTTGAAGGACCTTGAAACAAAACATCCCATTAATCAATTTTATGAACTAGAAGCCTTCCATTATGAACAGCAAACACAGTCTTGCTATCCTAGCGTTACTAGAGTAAAAAGGAGACAGTAATCTTTAGAACAAATTTAGAACAGCTTAGAAAATGGCTCTCATGATTTTGGAGTTAAAAACAGTATTTTGACAAAGACAACATGGCACAAGGAAAACTGATGTTGGCCATCTCTCTTTCCCACCAAAAACTGAGCCCCAACAAATTTGAAAATAATGTTTGTACCTGAGGAACTATGACCCTCCCTGCACTTGGGTTCACATGACTAATATTTTTAGATAATATTGCTATGGCTTTCTCCTAAAATAAATCCTTCCTTGACATGGAACATTAGGGACAAATTCTAAGACTGTATTAAATTATGTCTATACTAGTATACCACATGTACTGATTAATAATGTGGATTTTTTCCCAATAGATGGAATTACACATATGTTGATATATATGCAATGTGATATAGTATATGCTATTTTGTTGTATAGACAGCAAACTTCAAAACTTCATATGTCAAATTTGCTGAAGGTGTTAACATTATAGATATTTTTACGTTTAAAAAATGTCAAACTGCCGAAACCGGTTTGGCTCAGTGGATAGAGCGTCGGCTTGGGGATTAAAAGGTCCTGGGTTCGATTCCGGTCAAGGGCATGTACCTTGGTTGCGGGCACATCCCCAGTAGGGGGTGTGCAAGAGGCAGCTGATCGATGACTTTCTCTCATTGATGTTTCTAACTCTCTATCTGTCTCCCTTCCTCTCTGTACAAAATCAATAAAATATATTTTTTTAAAAATGTCAAACTCATGTAAAAAAAAAAAGAGAGCATTTGCAGGAAGTTTTAATTTATTACTTTATTTTGAAGAAAAGTGCTGCTGAAAGTAATTTTGCTCCAGGATAACGCACCATCACACACTTCCAAACCAGTTAAAGACACATTAAAAGATCTTGTCTGGGGCTCTGGCTAGTTTGGCCTGTGGACTGAAAGGTCCCAGGTTTGGTTCCGGTCAAGGGCACATGCCCAGGTTGTGAGCTCAATCCCCAGTTGGGGGTGTGCAGGAGGCAGCCGATCAGCGATTCTCTCTCATCATTGATGTTCCTATTTCTCTCTCACTCACCATTCCTCTCTGAAATAAAACATTATATATTTTTTTAAAAAGTTCTTGCCTGGGAAGTATTAACCCACCCGCCATATTCACCAAACCTTGCTCCTTCAGGCTATTACTTGTTCCGATCAATGGCCCGAGCACTTTGTGAGCAGCACTTCAAAACGTAGAAGTGGAAAATTTGGTCGCTGAATAGTTTGCCTCAAAACAAGAAAAGTTATATTGGGATGGTATTCACAATTTACCTTAAAGATGGGGAAAATTTGTAGCTAGCAATGGACATTAGTTTGAATAAAG